CCCACATCTTCAATTCAAAAAGAAGTGAACACTGTCCATAATTTGGTTCTTCACACAAGTCATGAAACACGGTCTTGTACAAAATGGACCAAATCCAGAATCGCTGAATAACGAACTCAACGATTATATGATCGATTCAACAGTAATGAGAGTACGGCGCACGAATTATTATGCAGACTTTTTTTTTGCCAATAAAAAATAAAAATGAAACTCAATTTGTTATAATAAATTACACTACATCATTAACATTATTATCGAGCGTTGTACATATTTTACTAAAAGAAAATTTTGATGGTAGAGGACATTTTTGCAAGAGCATTCTAGCATGTATTCGTTTACATTTTCCTTTAACATTTATCATTATAAATTGTGATATCGGTATCCGACAATGTATAATTCTCATATGAGTCTTAGTCATCGAATATGTATTAAAACAAATGTAATTTCATTTATTTACCAATGTAACTCAACTTATGGAGATACATATTGTGAGTCACTTTTCAATTATTGTCATACTATTATATGTCAAGCTAATGACCAATATCGATCGAGTCAATTTAAATTTAAATGTACAAAAAAGATTTTTCTAATTATTATTATGAAAAACAAAGTTCTTGATTTTGTACGCCACAAAAAGAAATAATTGTTTCCTTTGCTTAGATAATTGTGATAATTATTCCGAGTGCCAGTATTTGAATGCGTATATTACAATATGGATTTTAGATCAATCGCGTAGCACAGAATGGACTTAAGGGATTAGAACAAGAAACATTTAAAGGAAAAAAAATTCAAGATAATTCAATGTTTTATTTATGTCATAACATGCAAACTTGAAATAATACTTGCAAAATATCAAGTTCAATGTTAAACTCATTAGTCATGCAATAAAAACAGCAATTCTTTTTTTCTAAATAAAGATTTAAGTAGTTTTGTCAAGTTATAGTTGTAATCAATGTTATTTTGATCGATTTTATATATTCATTAGATTCTTTCTTTTCCAAATTTCCTAAAAATATAACAGTCACTGGTGTAACAGCAGAGCTCGAGAAATAGATTTTAAAATAAAAAAAATCACGCGTAGAAAGTTCATTCTTATTTCTTGACTACATACACACACACTCAAAATTAAATGTCATACAAGTCATTAAATTAACTGTGACGAATACCGATAATACCAGAATCGATCAACTTTTGAATTTTTTGTGCAATTGCAGGATTTCGTAAATGATCACGTAATGCTTGTGGATCATTTTGCATTTGTTCAAGAATTAAACGCATACCAGGATCACTAAGAATTTGTTGAATTTCAGGATCAGCAGCTGCACGTTTACGAGCTTCTTCAGGGTCATCACTTGATCTTAGTGAACATTGTCGATAACCTTCAATAGCTTCCTAAAAGCAATATTTCGTATATTGATCTACATAAATTTTGTTTTTTCCTTACTTGACAATTTGGATCGATTTCAAGAGCTTTACCAAATGCAGCCATTGCTTGACCTAAATCTTTCATTGCCATTAAAGCATGACCCTTACGAAGATAACATTTAACTAAAAAATCAATTAATTTAATTGAATCCGTTTTTTTTTATAACTTACTAAATGTTGGATCAATTTTAATTCCTTCTTCACTATCTTTTAATGCTAATTGATATTCCATTAATTTTGTATAACAAGCTGCTCGATTTGAATATAGTTTTGCATCAGATGGATTTCGTTTAATAGCTTCACTAATAAATAAAAAAGCATCATTACAAAAAAATTTATTTCAAAAACAAAACATTGAATAATATAATTTACGTATAATGTTTAAGTGACGTTGGATAATCAGCTTTTTGAAAGAATTCATTTCCTTTTGTTTTCTCTTGTTCAGCTAATTCAGGATTAATATGAGCTAATTTTTCTTGTTCTTGAAGTATTTTTTCAATTTCTTGTTTTCTCTTTAATATATCTGGATTTCGATGTTCAGAAAGTGAACTATTAAAATATTTAATAGCATCTTCATAATTTTTTTCTTGTGCTTTCACATTTCCCATACGTGCATAAGCTCTATGAAAGAAATATTACAAAAAATATTTTTTTTATTTATATTCTTACTTAGCAATTAATTTATAATCAGCTTTACTTTCACGTCCAATATCTATAGCTTTTTCACATTCTTTTATACAATCATTCCATCGTTTTTGTTCAAAATAAACAGCTGAAAAATAAAATTTTAATGAAATATATAAGAACAACAAAAAGTTTCAACTCTAACCAGCTCTATTTGTATAATAGGTCATATTTTTTGGATCCAGTTCAGTTGCTTTATTGTAATGATTTAATGCTTCTTCAAAATCTTTTTTCTTGTATGCTTCATTACCTTTCTCTTTTTCTTCTTCAGCCTAATATTGTAACAATACAATTAAAATAAATATTAAAAAAAACGTATATACAAGTGCGCTCATAAATAACTAAATGATAAAGAAATTTCCATATCTTCAGTCTGCTTTAATCAAGTTGGCTGATTTTTTTCCTTGGTGATACAAGACTGGTCAAAGTTCTTAATTATAAGAAAACTGTCAAAATAAATAATGTGTTAAACTAATACTATTGATATCAATGAAAAAGTACGTTATTGACCAAAAGTATCTCATCATTCTGCTATGCTACAAGAGAACTTTCCCAGATATTAAATAGCTTTTCGACTAAAACGATGTTCATCTAATGAGTAATAGAAAAATGAGGAATGGTTTGGTTTTCCGAGCCTTCCTTCTCAACTCAAATTATGCATGAATAAAGTTCTTAATGAGATTAGTTTATTTGATATATTGTAACTGTTCTAGTATGTCCTATTCTAAGATAAAAACTAGAACTTGTTCATTCAACTAACCTCATGAAGACCTTTCTTCGTACAGCGCTTGAAGTCGTAATTCGAAAATTAATTTTCCATGTGATCGAAAAAGGACCACAACTCTTGGTTGAAACTATCGGTCAAATTTCCATATCTTAAGAACGAAAGTTCGGAAAACAAAGCTATTCTAGACTTTTGGATTACTCGCTAGTACTCATCAAGTAAACATTGTTTCGATTGAAAAGCAATTTGACATCTAGATAGGTTTCCTCGTCAACTATTCTTACAGTTAAACATGTGAAATTTTTATTACATCTATATACTAACTTAGAAATGTAGACCAACGAGACCAGTCTACCCTCATTTATTTGAGTTATGATCAATCGCAACCCTTCTCACTATAAGTCATATAACTCGAGAAGGAAAAAATTTTATCACTTGACGAGCCTATCATCACTTAGTTTTTTAATGCGGCTATATGACATATTAATAGGTTGACTAGATTATAAACTCTTTACCTTCTTGGGTTGTAGAATTCATAGTGGAAAGAGTTGTCATACATCATAATTCTTCTTTAACTCAATTGATCAAGACCAGGTTGATCTTGTCGGCCTGAATTTCTAAATTAGTACATAGGCTGACATTTTCAGATCTGTAGCCTTGAGAATGACTCAGATCATAGGAGAGGAAGATACTTTCGACTAGTAGTGTATTTCTTGAATGAGGTCAATAGTACTAGTTTACGAGAGTGTTCGATAGCGGTTTTCTTATGAATAAAAACTTTGAAGAGTTATCTATCACTGCCTCAAAAAACTGTTATTTACGAGCTTTCCTGCATATTTTATTACTTGATTTTGTTCTGATGTCAAATTTTTATTTTCTTCTTTTGTTTTCTTTGTAGTTGTCGATGCTTTCGATGATGTTGAAGTATTTGTTTCTTTTTTTGTAGTTGTTGGATTTGTATTAGTTTCCATTTTAGTATCATTATCATTTTCATTTCCAGTACCAATGTCAATTCCAAGAACAGTTCCAATTAATTTTAATAATTTTGGATTGGTCAAAAGTCTAATAAACTAAGTAAATTAATTGAAACTATTTTATATAAATAACATACGATGTATTATTTGGTTGTTCTTGCATCATTTTCATAAGCATAGCTGTTTCAGGATCTTTTAAAAGTTCTCGTGCTTTTGGATTTGTCATAAGTTGACTCATAAATTGTGGATCAGAAAAGAAACTAAGGCCAGTATCCGATGATTTATTTGCATCTTTTCGTACTGTTTCTAGATCAGTAATTAATTGTTGATTATTCGGATCTATTTTAAGACCTTGCTCATAAACATTTATTGCTTCATCATATCGTTTTAGAAAGGATAATGCAGCACCTTTTCGCGAATATCCCTAAACAAAGAAATTTCTTTTCGGATTTAAAGAATCTTTTTTTTTTTACTTTAACAAAATCAGGCTTAAGTGTAATACATTGTTCAGCATCTTTTAATGCATCTTCATATTTATTTGCTTTAGCATAAGCAGCTGAACGATTACTAAAGAGTATATGATTCTTTTCATCGAGTTCTATAGCTTGAGTATATAAATTGATTGCATCATCATTTTTGCCAGCTGAAAAAGCAGCATTTGCTTTGGATTTCAATTCTTCAACCTAAAAATATATTAATAAGATTATTTCTAACGTATAAAATCTAACCTGAGACGCCATGAATGAAAGTGATGAAAATGATATTGATATAAAAATCTACAATTTGTATTTTAAAGAATCAAAATATTTTTGAGAAAAATTAATACAATCGTTGACGGAAGTTGTAGAAACGAATATTTAATTCTTTTCTTTTTAAAGGAAACTGATTTGGTAATGCTCTCCTCCGTATATGTTTCTTTGATTGATTAGTAGCGACACTGCATTAGTCATTTAATTGTTCATACGACGATAACATAAGCTTTACAACACAAGATATTCTTGACAACAAATATGCATATGGTAGCATTCTATCTGTGTATATTAATGTTTATTAAGAAGAATAAAGAAAAGGAATCTGAAAGGGAAATATTAATTTAAATAATTTCAAGTTAACCTGCGCGGAGGATATGAAAACGATAAATCTTATTTATTATACTATGTTTTGATATTTTGTTTCTTGTCAAGTTCATGATAATGCCAATTGCAGAAGACCGTGTTGAACAGTTACAAATGCACAAATTAATCTATGCCGTACGGACAGATGATATTTTGTTAGTGCATAAATTATCTGAAAAAGGTGTTAAAAACCTTGTAAATTATAATGATCCACAAAATGGATTAACTGCATTGATGTAAACACAAATATATTAAATTTTTAAAAAATTTTTCATAATTCTTTTTCTAGAGCGGCTGTAACAGAAAATAATACAAACATGATAAAATGTTTATTACAACTTGATGCTCATCCTGATGTTATTGATTTTTCTGGTCGTACGGCACTTATGCATGCTGCTGAATATGGTTATGTTACTGTTTTACAATTATTACGTGAAGCAGATGCTGATGCAAGAATTCAAGATTTTGAAGGAAACGGTGAAGGAAATATTTTCAAATAAAAATAATATTATTCTATTTTAGATGCAGTATATTATTGTTTTACTAAAGCGACAGAACATCATAAAACATGTTTAAAAATATTACTTGAAATGGGTGCTAATGTTAATAATCGAACACAAAATAGTGTACCAAATTTGGTACATATATGTAATGATTCTGTAGAATACGAAGATTTTTGTATGGCTCTTATTCTAGCTGGAGCTGATGTACAACTTATTGATGAAGTAAAAGCAATACATTATTGTTTATTAAAAAAAAGATTTTCTTTTTCTTATTCTCAATAGAAAACGAAACGGACAGCATTACATAATGCTTGTTTATCTGGAAGTACTAAAATTGTACGAGAACTTTTACGTATGCAAGCAGATCCCAATGCATTAGATGATAAAAAATCAACACCTGCACATGAAGCAGCTAAAGGTGGACATTTTCAGGTGATTAGATATTTCTTAATTGTTCGTTTCACTCTAGACTTTTTCTTAGGTGATTCGAATTCTATCGGGTTTCGGTGCAAAATTTGATGTATATGATACTCTTGGTAACAATCCAATTCATTATGCTGTAATGTCTAATGCTGGTACTGCTATTCGATATCTTGGTCAACGAGGTATAAAAATATTTTGAATTTCTCTTGTTCAAATTAAATCTTTATTCTTAGGTTGTAATCCGAAGAAGCCGAATCTCGAAGGACTTATTCCAAAACAAATTGCACATGAATATGGAAATAAAGATGTGCAAAGAAGTTTGCGAAAAGCTGAAAGAGGCTATCATGAAATGACAGCTAATTTACCTGCAGGTAAATCTACATGTCTAATGATTTATTTTCATTTCAAATTTTAATTAATATTTTTTAGATGAATTTCTTGATTGGAGAATAATACTTTACGATTATATTTATGAAAATTATGAACGTATTGAAAAACTTTTCCAAGAATTTGATATGGCTGAACCGAAAAATGGTATCATATTAAAAGATAATTTTAAAAAAGTTCTCAACAATGAAAATTTTCTTTCGTTTCTTAAACCATATAATATCAAAGATTTATATGAAAAACATGATAAAAGTCGAGAAGAACTTGATTATAGAGCATTTTTAACTGGAACAAAATATTTAGCAAAACCATATTTAATGACTGCATACACAAGAAAAAAGAAGAAGAAAAAAGTTTAGAAACAAAAAAAAATGAATTAATCAATTAAATTGTTATTCTGTGATAAGCTGATGCATTAATATTGATTCATATGTTTTATTTGCTATTCAAAATTTGAAGGACTTAGTAAAGAGAATGACTGTTCACAAAAAAAACTCGTGCACCACAACATATTCATTATACTGATAATATATATTTTTTTATGTGATCATGTGTCAAATAATTCTTTAGAAAATGATTCATGATGTTATTTAGATAAATCTAATCAAATTTATATCAATTTATGTGATGCTAATAATGAAAAACTTCCATTTCATCCTATTATTATTATTATTATTTGTTGTCCAATGACTTATCATGATGATTTATTAACATTATTAGATGTATTTCAATGAAGTATATGTGTGTAGACTTCACAGATAAATTGTTGAAAATATTATTCATGGTAAGTAGATTAATAAGAATAGATTATGTCGTTATTCTTAATAAAATACTTCATTTATCATAGTCTATGCTCATAATGATCTCAATGTTATTCAATATCTACTAACAAGCTGATAATCCCAAAGAAAAATATGAATGCATTACTTTAATGTTTTCTTAATGAGAGTTCATGTGAACAAAACACATGATTCTACATAGGCTTCAATTCATAATGTTATTCAAGTTTCCCTGGAACTCGCCAATGGATCAATAATAAAAGCAACATCATTAATAAATGTTATAGAAAATTCATTCATTCCTATTTGTGAATATCTTGTTAATAAAAATATCAAAGTAACATATGAAAATATTTCTAGTTTGAAAGCATTAACTACTGCTGCAGATTTTATTGATCGATGTCTTTATCATCTAATTAGTGAAAAAGTCTATGCTAATAGTGTAAACAAACCAAAATATACTATAAGAAAAAAAATTCCAATCAATATCATTCAAGAAAAGGTCACAATTTGGATTAGGGTTGTCATATTAGAATTAGTTAATACCAAAGTTTCAACATTCTTGTTCAATTCTGCCTGCTTGAACTAAAAATTTCTTTGGAGAAACCTTAGATTATATTTCAGAAGTCATATTAAGCTTTTTCATAAACTTCACTTTCTTTATTTTTGAGAGAGAAATTCGTAAAGGTTCGAATTCAAAACCGTATTTTCAAGTATCTGTAGTTCTATGAAAAAGCAAGTTTTCCAGAATAATTCAGAAAATCTTATTTCAAATTTCTTTTGCTCGAACACGTGTCCCCTTATTTTAGGTACTCTATGTGTGGCAGAAATTTCACAAAGATCAATTGCAACCTGTTCCAGAATCAGAAATGGCTCAACAAAAAGGTTAAGGTATAAATAATACTAACATCTTAGAATTAATTTATTTTAATGCCAACAATATAAAAGCATTAAATTTACTTTTAATACTAATGCCTAAAAGTCTGTATTATACTAAAACTAACGCTTACCTAACATTTCTAAATTGAATCAAAAAAATGAAAAAATAAATGGTTAACTCAAAAAGACCAAGAATGGTTTGTTTTTCGAGTTTCTAAATTTAAATTAAGAAAAGAACTATTGCTCAGAAACATTAACAACTTCAGCCTCTAGACGCAATACTTTATTACGTGCTGATGTTTAGTTAATAAAACCATTTCAAAATATCAAATGAATTGTATTACATCTGAAAACAAAATGAAGTGATTTTCCAAACCATAAACGATATTTTTATATAAAAAGATCTACTTTACGTAATTATCTTAATTGAAAACTTGACATCCATAATTGTAAACTGTCATTTATGAGTCATGCTCATAAACTATTAGCAAAAAAAACTTCCTCAAGACTGAAACATATTTTATCTATTTCTTGCTAATAAAAGAGAGTATCATTTGGCGCGTTCACTTGTTATTGATTCGGATTATGGTCATAGCACATGCTCTAGTTGAATTAGTACAAATAAAAAAACTTTTATATGCTGTACGAACATCTAATTATAATGAAGTAAGACATATTTGTGAGAAAGGTGTTGATGGACTTATTAATTATAATAACCCGACTGATGGTAATCGAATATGAAGTTAAGCAATTTAAAAGATAATTTTGTTATTTATCATAGGTGAAACACCATTGTTAGTTGCTGTGAAGAAAAATGATGAGGTTATGATGCAATGCCTTATTGATCTTGGTGCAAACCCCAATGTAACTGATTTTAAGGTGTGAATTAGAGGTCTCAATGAACTCGGCTGAACCAAAGAAAGTTGGTCCAACCTATAATTTTTGTCTCAAAAAATGACTCAAACCATGGGTCATTCATCTAATTGCATTTGATAAATTTTTAAGACATCAATAACTAATCATATTTCGAGTGTCAGAAGTTGATGTGTAAAAAAAATTCAGTGAAAATGCACAACATTTCTTGAAAACTTTATATTTTATGCGAAATTCGGCTCATGAAGATCTCTAATGTGAATAGTCCGCGAAAAAAAAATTAAAGAGAAGATTTTAAAGTAGTTTTGGCTTTAGGAACTTTTTCTGCATTGACTGACATGAATCGAAGAATGTTTGATTTGTTGAATAGGACATGTTTTTTGTCAGGGTCGAACACCACTAATGCGTGCAGCTGAACATGGATTTGTCGAAGCTGTACAAACATTACTCAATGCAAATGCTAAAACAAATATACGAGATCTCAATGGAAACGGTATTGATATCGTGAATAATTCATGATATTGATTATATATTTGTTTCTAATGCAGATATTCTTTTTGCTTGTCTTTCTAATGGTACACTTCGACAACAAGAATGTTTTTCTATCATTATGTCTAAACGAACGCCCGATGTCAATGGAATGACAACAATGGGTAAACCAGTATTAGTAGCTGCTTGTGAAAATGGAGTGATCATGGAAAAAATTTGTTTGACATTACTTGAAAGAGGTGCTGATGTTAATGCTATTGATAGAGTAAAACAAAAATAAAGTCAAGATATATAAGATTATTTAATTTTTATATAAATTTTCTAGGAAACAGGCACAACAGCTTTACATGCTGCTTGTGCTTCGGGTTCAGTAAAAGTAGTACGTGAACTTTTGCAACGAAAAGCTAATGTAAATGCTCAAGATGTTCATCAGCAAACACCTGCTCATGCTGCTATAACATCTAAAGTATTCGAAGTAAATTAAATTAACTTCATCCGAAATGATTAGTATCTTGAATAAAAGAATCGAATAAAAATATCAGTATATTTAGCTTTTACCAATTCTTTCGGCTTATAATGTTCGTTTTGATCTTGCTGATGAATCATTAAATACACCAGTTCATTTAGCTGCCATGTTAAATCAAGGTAAAGCAATAAAATTTATGATTCAACGTGGTGGTACTACTAAAACTAAAAATGTTGACAATCAATTACCAATTAAACTTGCAACTATATGGAAAAATATAGATGCTAAAAAAAATATTCGTTTAGTTGAAAAAAAACAATATAACAGAAAAATAATCTCACCTAAATCAAATCCAAATCGTGATTATAAAATTCATTTTTATGATTGGTTACAAGAAAGATATGATCGACTTTTACGTCGATTTCGTCAAATAGAAAATGTTAGTACTCATCGAATTACATCCAATGATTTTAAACAAATTATTCAAGAAGAAGGTTTTACTCAAATAACATCTGATGATCTTTATGATCTTATTATTCGACATGAAACAAATCCAAATGAAATTGATTATCAAACATTTCTATCTGGAAAATTATTTATTGAAAAACCATTTCTTATGCAAGCATTTATTCAAAAAAAAAATAAAACGAAAAATAAAAAAACGAAAAAAACAAAAAAACAACTAGCAATTCCAATAGCAATACGTCATGAAGGACCACGAACATCACATGGCAATCCACCGTTAGTTTACATTAAAAAACATCAATTTATTACCGATCAAAGTCGATTTAATCGTGATCAAATTCCAAAACATATCATTAATGATGATTCAGTATATTATATCGACAAAATCGATCCTCAATTTGTACATATTAATAATGCTGGTAGAAGCTAGTTTATGTTTTATATTGATTTTATATTTTCTATTATATTTAATAGTTTATCGAGGTGATTTACATACACTTCTTGATGCATTCAAATCAGGTTTGATAAAATATTCTTTTTTTGAATGTAATCTTTTTCTTTTCTTCTAACTCTAGGAGTCCCAGTAGATATTCGAGATAAATTTTACAAAACGCCATTGATGATTGCTGCTGCAAATGGTGATTTAGAAACAACGAAATTTCTTCTTCAATGTGAGTAAGTCAAATATACAAAAATAAAAATGTCCTGATTCTCGACTCCATATGTCTAGTGCAAATGTACATCTTGAAGATCATTTTAAATGGACAGCACTTCACCATGCTGCTAACTCAGGTCAATTAAGTGTTGTTCGTGCTCTTGTCGATGCTGGAGCTAAGATCAATCATGAGTCGTTAACATTAGCTACACCACTTAGTCGTGCTATTGAAAATTCATCCCTTGATATTGTAAATTATCTTGTTCAAAAAAATGCTAATGTTCGACATGAAAATGTCACACGTATGTATATTGATCTGATGCATAACAATATTTTTCAACTTAATAGAATCGTACATGAATTTTATGGAATACTTAATATAGAACGTAATTTACTTGATTTGGCTGCTGACTTTGCTTCACCACAAGTATTCAATACTATTCGAACGATATATGAACGCAAAGGAAACAAAAAAAGTAATCAACAATCGAAAACTCGTCGAAAACCAAGTACTAATACAAAAAAAAACAAAAATGCCGAAGCGGTACATAGATTATTTAATAAGAGATGTAACATTCATTTATTTATTCATTTTTAGCCAGTTACTGGTATAAAGCCAGTCAAGCTGGAAGTACCACTACCACGACGTGGTTCATTACTTATTGCTGAAGAAAAATTGATGTCATTGAATGATACATTTGAATCCATTACATATCATCCATTGATTAAATGGACTGATCAACCAACTACTGAAGAATTACTTAATAAAAAGATCAATCTTAGAAATCAATTTACAATGAATATTGATTTTCCCGATTACAAACCTCCATTATTAGCAAATGCTCAAGTTAAATTAGAACGCTTAGAAGTACTTGATCGACGTTTAAAGACTTCATAGACTTCATCTATTGACTCATGTACTTATCTCAATAAAAACGTTTCATTAAATTTTTTTTTTATTTTTCAATCTATAAGCCTTAAATAATAAATTACGGAATTAAATATATGAACATAATTCTTCTGAATGAAATAAAATCAACCATCATGCTTGCTTTCATCTAACCTGAGAAATTTCAACACAATTACTTCTTGTTTTAATCGCTCTAAGCAATTCTCTAAAACTTTCAGGTATATTGCACTTCTACCATTAATATTGATGACTTTAACGAATTGATTTCCAAGGCAACGTAGGACGGGTGGTTCCAATTGTAGCGGAGATTTTAAATCTTCATGTTTCTTCTTTTTAATACCTCAGCGAAACAGTGAGTAAATGCATTCAAATTTAACAACTGACAAGGAAACATTTCCAGATGTCGGAACACGTTTCGGTTGGGGTTTCGCGCATCTTGTAGCCTTTTACCATAAACACAGCTCACTAAGAGCTACAAGATGCGCGAAACTCCAACTGAAATGTACCAACACCTAGAAATGTTCTCTCGTCAGTTAAATTTTTATTCCTTCCTATCCAGATCCTGATTAGAATTGGTATTGTCTTGCAAGAGTTCAAAACTTTTAAGCTTGAAATACTTTGAACATGATCCTGAAAAAGTTCCATAGAGATTTTCATAATCAATATGTCTAAGAATTAAAGCAAGACCCCAATGAAATCTTGTCAGTATTTTTCACTTAAGAACTCTAACTAATCTGTTTATTTTCTTACTAAGGTCCTCGTCTAATGTAGCTGTTGATCGGTATAGGATCATAACACGAAGATTTGGAACTGATTTTCACGTAGCTGTGACCAAATCTTGGCAGAATACTCTCTGTTATTCCTTTCAAGATCCTGAGCAACATTGAGAGTGACTTCTGGTTGGACTCAGCATTCTCAATTTGAAAGAATCTTAGTAGGAACTTAAGCAAACTCTGACAATAATCGTGTTTAACTATGAGAAACCTTGCAAACATGAATTACTAGGATTCGAGACCGGATCCTGAATAAAACTTAACAAGATTATTGAAATCCAGAATCGAGACAGGCTCTCCCAGGCCTTCTGGAGGAGTTAATAGGATTGAGATTAGAGAAATAGCTTTATAAATAAAAGTAGAACAGTACACATTTTTGTTTGAAAATGCATCACAAATTCTGTTTTCAATAGATTGTTTTTTTCTTTCTGCTCAATTGAGAGCTTAGTACCACATGAACTAAACAAACATATGCATGAATGGTTGTTATTGCTACCAAGATTTGGTTTTTTGCTAAATGATAAATCAATCAATTTTAGCATAGGACACAAATAGCATTTCTTGCATCTACATTCTCACACATCGTCACGAAAAACTTAAATCAAACTCACATCATTGATTTGTTTTAAAGTTGACCCATAACTTCTATTAGATTCTTCAATAGTTTCGTTATTATATTGTTGTAATTTATATTCAGTTTTTCTTTTTTCTATGAATTTCGAATTGTTGTTGTAACAATACATTGCAATTATTTCCTCAAATATAAAAATTTCATTATGAACAATTCAATTATTTCTCTAAGTTTGTAAAAAAGCAACAAATAATAATTTGAAACAATATATGGTAAATTCAACTCGTTTCGAAAACAGGGAACTATGATGGAATTTTCGTCTAATCCATAGTAAACAGATATATACTTTGATAGCACTGTGGGCTCTCTAACAACTTTTATCAAACAGAGAGTAAATTAAAACAATTATACTCATGCATAGTTATAACAATTTAATTTTTGTTGGAAACACAAAACTGACGAACACATGTTGATTCACTAATAAGCGAATATTTCCTTATGCGGAATAATAAACTTAATTTAAAAAAAAATATTTTTTCATTAATTTGTTTTAATGTTAAATCTAACATGATAATCATTTAAATAAAACAGCGTCGATATTTCTAGATCAATAGTTTCTTAAGATTTTCAAAATATTTAAACATATATGTCTATTCTGATTTATTTAATGAACTTAATGATCATCGTGACTTTTGACAATTTCTTCATGACAAAATTAACTATTGATTATAAAGAATCTGTATTCTACTGTAGTAATTTCATGAAAATTTTGTATCTAAGAAGTAACACTATTGTTAATAGATCAACATTTTTGTTTTATTTTATAGAATGAGAATTATTTTCTATAATAAATACAAATTGTGTTCATTTGTCTCGTGCAAATTAATGATATATAATATTAATTCTATACATTGAAATTTGTTATTTCAACATATAAAGTTTTATAATATACTTCTACTTATTAATTCATTTTTTTCAAAAAGATCTTACATATAGTTGTTAACTGTTTGTAACATATATCATTATGTTGGTACAAAATACTTTCGTCAAACTGATTCTAAAACAACATTTTTATCTTTTATCATAATCATTAATTCGCGACGACTAAACATTTCATTAATGATATGACCATGATACTATTTATGAATGATTTTTCCAGAAGTTAATTTTATTTAGAGCGAATTTGAAAAAGTCTCGGAGGTTTTTAGAACTTGTTGTATCGAAACCAAGGTTATACTTACCAATGGGTTTTTACTTTTTCAAAGTTTAAATATGTACATATATAAAACAACAAAAAAGTTCTCAATCTCAATGAATTCGTAAATACTTCAACAACTGTTACAATCATGGGAGAGCAAAGTCAAACTTTTGAGGGGGAAAATAAAATTTTGAATATGTCTGTTTTATCTTTCCTCTGTCAGAAGTAGACATTCCAGCAGCAAAATCTTTTTTTGTCATTTGAATTTAATTTTACTTAAACATATAACAGATGAAAGTTTGAGTATTGTACCACGAGTGTAATACTTTTTATTTAAAAAAATTTGCTCTAAACATTTTGGAAAAAATCTACATTTATGGTCAGCCATTACTTTTCGTTTACTGACTATTCCGTTCTTCTGTCTTGATATTGAAGTAAAAGATTGCCTGAAATTTGAACAATCGTTCTTCTCATGAAATTAACTATTTATTGTTAGCAGCTAATTGATCACCTATCTGATTTTTTTTAGACATTTTGATTTTAGTAAGCAATAGCAATGAAGATTAGTCATTGCGTTTCGTCTATTATATGTGAGTGAATTGGACTTCCATTATTTTGATCAAAGTCATTAAATATCATATTCTCAGTCTTAGAGGACATTGAATATATATGGGCCTGGCCAACCATAAGGTACCCTGCTTTGTTTTCAATTTATTATCATTTAGAAAGCCTAACCATGTTCGAGCCAAATTATCACACTCATCGCTAAACTACGAAATTTAAAATATTAGCTACTGATGACTGTCTTATATGATATTATTCAGTTTCTGAAATTGTGTCCTATCGTTTTTAACCAATTGAATAATTTCATATAAGACAGTCATCAGCAGCTAATATTGTAAATTTCGTAGTTTAGCAGTGAGTGCGATAATTTGTCACGAACATGGTTAGGCTTTCTAAATGATACTAGAAAGAAAGCAAAGCGGGGTATCCTATGGTTGACCAGGCTCATATGTGTTGAATTTAGTCGTTCTACTCTAGCATAAATATGAGGTGTGGAAAATTCTGTAAAATGATTGTTAATATTCGCAGTGATAGCCGGGCCATAATCTTGGATGGAGTAAATTGATTCTGTTAACCGTGCAACGATACCGCCTGTTACTATATGTTTATAAGAACAATTATTTCTTCCAATGAAAATAATTTTGATGTTGTCTCTATCCAATTGATTTTCTAGGTCGTTTCGAAGGTAGTTTTTTTTTACTGCTATTTTGCTTTTTCGAAGAACTTTCATATTCTATAGTTTAATGTAATGTTATCTGTAACTTTTAGTTCTCGGTATGTAGGATAAGATGTAAAAGTCAGTTTGGATTGAAAATGATTTGTTTTTAGATTCTATCTAATGAAAAATCATTGTCAAAGTTGCTTTGAACTCACCATAAATTATAATAAAGAACTCATGTTCACGAAACATTATTGTACATATTAGTTATTTATTCGACAGCTAATCTGAAGAATAAAGTATTCACGATTTTTCTATTTTATGCTTCAGAGATCTGTGACGGTAATATTTAAACCAATCGTTTAAGATTTTCAAAAATAATTGTAAAGCGTATACTCGCATGCAATATGTTCATAAGTAAGGCTGATTTTAAAGGTACTTTACTATTTATAAAAAAAAAAGCTATAAAATGACTAGTTGTCTTACTCAACATAAACAAATATATATATCATTCATGTGACTTGTCAAGGTCAATAAGATAACATGAAGATATTTTCACAGTGGTTTATATGAATTTGTTTTGTGTAGACATGGATATAAAACTATTTTAGTATTTGAGACTAAATTTTTTTTCATGGATGTAACGATCGTGAGGTGAGCAGCAATTCTACTTTTAAAAATTTTTCATTTTTTTTTCAGTAGAAATCGATATTTTTTGTAAAAAAAACAAGCCATTGAATGAGAAAAAAAAACATTTCGACACCTTATGACTTTCAAAAAAAAGTTGCATTGTGCACCACTTCACTTGTTTTTATTGTTTAGCCAGATATCTCATTTTGTTTAACAATTAATGATTCATGAATAAGAAATTCATACCATTTTTTTCCCAGTGAGATCATAAACACTTGCCTTTTACGCATAACAAACTAACTTGATTATTAAAGTGCAATATTTCAATTGTTTCCGACATCTATGGAAAAAACGTTCATTGGTTGATTTTTCTTTTAGTTCAATAAAAAAAAAAATGCCAGTGTAAAACGAAACAAAGAGTATTTTTTTATGAATTTTACTTGATATTGTCTTTCATAAGTATTTTCATATATTTATTTATTTATTCATATTAGACAATAAACAATCATTTATTTTCTATTCAAAAAGTAATTTCATCCATGAATACGCCAATTCTTAATCCGAATTCTTCATCATCCAATAATACAAATACTAATTCCATTTCGTCCTCTTCACAAATTCATCTTGAACTTAGTAAAATTCTTCTTAAACATGATCCGAATGCCATACGTTTATATGATTTTATAAATCATGTTAAAATTTTTTTTTATAATTCAAATGACTGTTATTGGGAAAATAATTCATATATTGAAGGCAATTTATTTATTTATGAAAAGAAATCTATCATAAATAATCAAGCATATCCATCCTATGCATTTGCTATTATAAATAAAAAACAAAAATTTATACAAGAAATTACTTCAGATATGCCGCGACATGCTGATAAATTACGTTTATTCTATGAAATTGTGATAAATAATAAAAGTGAAGTGTTTTGTTTATATTTTGTAAGTGAAAATGAATGTCAACGATTAAATGTATTCATTACACGAGCTATTGAATCAATACAAAATTTTAAAAATCAACAATCTCATGTAATTACTACCAATAATGTTCAAACAACAGAAACAAATGAACAGTTAGTATCACAAAATGTTTATCGACAACAGACATTGACTAAAGTAAAACTAAGGATATCTATTATTCATTGATGTACTAAAATAAAGTAATTTTTTCTCAGGTATCCAATCCAACTACATCACAAATTAGATCTTCTCGACAGACACCAATTCTACAACAATCAACTCCAATAATAAATAGTAATAATACTGAAGATCCGACGTTATCGCTCAAACGTTTACTTAATATTCCACGTCAAAATCATTTAAATAATGGAACAAGTTTTTTAAAAGAAAAAAATTCAATAAATCTTATTCCACCATCTGCCTTTGAATCTATATCATCAACATCGCTTTCAACTGTTGATGCTGAACATAGTGAACAGTGTTTATCATCAATAAATCTTGAACACTTTCGTAATGTCTTTCTTCATCTAGTTCAAAATAATGATCATTTTTTTAATATTATTCATCGAGCATGTCTTAATCACTCCATGCAATAAAATAAATATATATCTTTTGTTTTTTTAAATTTTAATCAAGAAAATATTTCATTATCAAAAATGAAATATAAATTAAAAAAAAAACATAAAGATTTTATTTTTTTATTAATTTAGATGTCTTCTCCGGCGAAAACAACTCGTACACCAACACTGACAAGTCTACCACCATCATCAAATATTGTAGTTGGTGATGCTCAAGATGATTTTCAAGCATTTCAAATGCGTCCAGTTATACGTGATTTTAAATTGGCTGCTGAGTTATTTGCATCAAATGGTGATATTGTATTAATATGTGGAAGAAGTAAAGAAGAAAGACAAGGCATGCTATTAGTATCATATGAAATTCCATCCGCAATAGCATCAATAACAGCATCTATACGATTAGTTAAAGTAATTAGGTTAACAAAGAAAAGTGTTACACAACTTGAAACAATACCAATATTAAAAATAGCTTTATTATTAGGCGATGGAACTGTTAGTTTACTTGATATTGATTCACTTGTTGAAATTGCTACTGTATCAAATAATAGTATTACTCTATTTTCAACTTGGTAAGTCATTTTTAGAAAGAATAAAAATTAAAAATACTCAGTTATATGAACATTGATGACAATAGATTTCGATGATAGTGTTCAACTAAGAAAAAAAATATCTTCTTATGATTTCTACCAGAGATTCAAGCAGGCATAGACCTTGATGTTCGTGTCTATTTCAAGTCAAATAGGCTAATTTTCTGTTAAGTTTCATGTACAGTGGAGAAATTTTGCCTCTAGAAGTTGAAAAAGATTTGCTTTTTAATCATTCGATCTGGGTACAATCAATCATGCCTAGTAATAAATTGTGAGTACATTGTTTATATATTTATTAATATCAGTAAGTTATCATTCGTACTTTCTAACCAGTTGTTATTATTATTAATTAATATGATTTGTTTACTAGTTTTTATTCTTGTATTTGTATGTTTTCTCCAACCCATTCATTAGATAGATTGAAAACGCTTTTTCTCAAAAACACAGCCTTGATGCAAGATAATTTTGTTTCTTTTGATTTTGTTGCTTTCCCTGTGAAATCTGTCTTCTACTTGTACTTGACTACTATCATAATATCAGTATGTAAATAAGTATACAGATCTACTATTTGTAGATTTGTTTGCAAATTTGATTTCTACTAGTAAACTTCATTAATAGATTAAAGAACGAGACTAATAAATAGTTATTCTGAATAGGAAATTTTATAATAGTTTTATCCAGAATGACAAAGGACAAACACTCATCAGAACCACTATTGGCTCACTTGAATTTATCGATAAGTCTTAAATTATGGGCACTTCTACTTCTCACAAGCTTGACCATCGTTATAATATTCTTTCTTGTTGTCAGCTAAGAAAGTAGACACTTTTTCTGTAATGGAGCGAAAAGATTATATAAATGATATGGGATTGAGTGCGGTTTGGAGAGTGTAGAATGCTTGAGCAGTCCGAATCGACGTACTTTTGATCGTCAGTCGATCTTGAGATCCTAATACATCAGAAAATAAAAATGAACATATTGTCAAAGTTTCAGTGCTAGTATAGTACATTACGAGCTACAAGAATATGCATAATCCGTTCGGAAAGACAAAAATGGCTATTCTTCGACTGCTATTTGCCGACTTTTATTAGACTCCTTATTTTTCTAGTCAAAATAAATATCATATAGTTGAGCTCTGAGAACTAGGTGTGAACTATTAGACGAAAATAAAAATTAATTTGAACAATTTTAAACACATATCGATCAACTCAGTTATTGATGCTGACTCCAATTATGTTATTTATTGTGACTAGAAAAATAATGAATCTGAGAAAATTCGGCAAATCTCGGTCGAAAATAGCTACTTTTGCTTTTCCGAACAAATTATGAATATTCTTCCAGTACATCACGTACTCTACTAGTGCTGAAGCTTCTGTGATACATTCATTTTGGTTTTCTGAGATATTAGGCCTCGGCAAGATCGTTCAGTGGTTTATAACATATCGATTTCATGCCCATCGGAGGTTTTCTTGAAGAAAATACTGTACTACTCGTATTTTTAACACAACTGAATTTTGTTTATTAAAAACAATTACTCCATTAGGTATGATATTGGATCGAATCAATCTACGTCTTCATCATCATCGTCAAATGTTTCAATATCAATTCCGACGGAACTTCAATTATGTGCTGCAATAAGACGCCGTTCACTTGTATTCTATAGTTGGCTTCCTCAACAAAAAGTTTTTAAAGAAAATAAAGATTTACGTGGTGCTTTTGATTTAATTGATGCTCCACGTGCATTAGCATTGTCACGCGAAAAAATCTGTATTGGCTATAGAAAATCCTATGTTATTATGAGTCTTACAACGGGTATGATTATTAATGAATTAACATTTACAATGACACATGATCCAGTTATAAATTGTCTACAAGATCGAACACAATGGTGTATACAAATGGAATCAAATACTGTATTTTTGAATTCTAGTTTTGAACCATTATATGAAAATGGTATTACATGGAAAGATATTCCATCAGGTATTGTCCAAGCAAGTCCATATGTATTAGCATTAATGAATCAATCAATTGATGTTTGTACATTTAATGGTTCACAATCAGTACCTGTTCAACAAATTCCACATAAAGGAGCAATAGGAAAATGCCGTTTATGGATGGATGCTCGAACTGAAAGAATTTATACTGCAACACCAACTGATGTTACTATACTTGAACCAATACCTGTTCATATACAATTACAAAATTATACTGGTAGATATAGATATGATCTAGCTTTAATTCTTATTCGAGCTGTACTCGGAATATCTGTATCATCATCAACGCCTGAACAATCAAGAACAATTGATGGTCATGGAAAAGGAAAGATTGATACATCTACAATGCCTAAACAAGTAACATTTGAAAATGATGAACAATCATCAAATAAAGTAATTGATTATCATATATATATATATATATTTAATATGAAAGTTTATGATGAAATCGTTCGATTCTTTTTGTTTATTGAATTAACAAAAAAAACATTGTAGTAAAGTGTAGGTACAAAAGTCTCTAGACAATATATTTGACTATTTTTTTTCATATTTAAATGCATTGGTAGTGTATTAAAATCAGAATTTCGTGCACTGCCAAAATATGCGCTTAGAAATTGTCTATGGCTTTGACGATAATGTACCATAAAAACCTTTATGAACTCGAAGAGATACCACCCTTATATGTTATATATTTAAAGAACTTATTGGATATTGACTTATCTTCAGAAATTAGGAATTTTGCTTTTTCAGGTAAGTTTTTTCAAGTCCTGTCAAAACTTATAGTCCAATAGCTAAAAGTGATAGAAAAATTCTATGCATACATTCTGATTGTAATAATCTACCAATGCATTTAAATAGGTGAAGAATAATTAACTTTCGGTTCTTTCTTTATATAGAGTGAAAATTCGTAGTCTCTTCATTTCCCTACAGATTGTGACCGACAGACATCCTAGCGACACTCATCATCCAGCACCACAGATATAAGTGTGCGAGACAAAATTTGAAAGTTTGCTAGGACCGGGACCGAAAAACTTAGTTCCGCACATCTCTAGTCGCTGACCATGACAGATGTTATTGATATGCGATCAAAGACTGTATATGAACTATTTTCGAAATGCATTTATGAAGGATTAAGTAAAGTAATAGTAAAGAAGTGCCTTCCAAAATTGATAGAATAATACAATCTCTTTGTGACCGGTATGAGCAGCTACATCATATTTGCACATTTTAATCCCACAAAAATTGTAGTAATAGTTTTCTTTTGTTTTGTTATTCTGTATTTTAGTCATCAGTTAATACACCAATAACTCGTCAAAGTTCTGTAATAAATGAACCAACTCGTAATAATCAAAAACTAAGTGATACAGAACTTTGGACTGAATATTATCGTGTTGGTACCATGAATGCATTTCAATTATTTCATAAACAACAATTTGAACAAGCTTTTGCTGAATTTAATGATTTTTTAACTGATCCAGGTGAAATCATATCATTATTTGCACCATTATCAGCTAATGTATGGTTAACAAATTCATATAATGAATTAAATTCATTCGTTAAACAACATCGACATTTTGCTGAACCAAATGATTTTGTTGGAGTTAAATTTGAAAATGCTTTACATGAATTACAACGTTATTTAACTGATTTACGTCGAGTTTTTCAAACAGTCTTTCGACGTTCACCAGATAGTTGGCTTGAAGTAAAACGAGAAAACTTTCTTTTATTTTTCATTTGAATACTTTTTTCATCTAGGTTCAATCACTTGTTCAAAATCGACTTATATTAAAACCTGTTCGTGAATTATTAAGTATTGTTGAAACAGCTCTACTTAAAGCTTATTTAATTGATAATAATAATATATTAGCTAATGCATTATTACGTAATCAAGATAATTGTTGTTTACCATCGGAAGTTGAAAAAGAACTTAAAAAACATCATCGGCGTCAAGAATTAGTTTCATTTTATGAAAAACGAAAGCGACATAGTGAAGCATTAGATTTAATTACAAATACAGAAACATTATCAACGCGTGAAAATATTCTTAATTATTTATCTAAACTTGATAATGATCAATTACCATTAATTTTTAAATATATTGAACCAATGATAAAATCCGCTTTAGAAGAAACAAATAATGAAAATATTCTTCATGATATATTAATATTATTTGTTGGTGAAGCAACACCGGCATCACCATCACCATCAACAATGGATATATCAAATACAGGAGCAATTAAACTTAATCCAATTGAAGTATATGGTTTTTTAAAAGATATTAATCAAGATTTTGCTATAAAATATTTAGAAACTATTTGTTTAAAACCAGAACTTGGTTCTAAACAACGTGATATTCATAATCGTCTTGTTTATGCATATTGTGATCGTATTAAACAATTATCTAATGAATTTAAACCAATGATTAAAGCTAAACAACAAGAAATTAAAATTAAACAACAACCAGAAATTTATGAAGGTATATTATAATTGATTAATATAAGAAAAATTATATTTAAACGTACCATGTATATCTACAAAGAATATCATTGCTAAAAAGTATTCGAATTTAGTAGTCTATTTCAACAAAGGAAAGAATCACTCTGCATGATTCCTAGCGTTTGAGATGAGACATCGCTCAATAAATAGAAGCTGTTGAGTCCATTGTTGTTTCAAAAAAAACAACGGTTCTGACTTTTGTTTGAATAATTTTTGATAGAAACAACATCGAGATGTAGAGTTTCCACCATTCAAGAGAGAAGACTCTGGGCCATCTATGTATGCTGAAATCTAATTGGTGCACAAATGACTAATCAGGTAAGCCTTCTGTAGGCGTTTTCAAAAAAACATATTCTTCTAAAGCCATTTCCTATTGAATTGTGATTCAGAATATGACCAATCGATAGAAAAAGTTCATCTTTTTCGATTTAGATAAGTTTTCAATATTTGACATGTTCCGTTCAAGTGTTACAAGAGTTTTTCTGAGATCTTCGGTTTCAACAAATTTGCATTGGGAGACTTGCAAAGAGCTGAGGACATAAGCAATCAATTATATTAAGTCGAATAATGATGTTTGTTTTCACTTTCAAAGCAGTTTGAGACTAATATTTCAGTGTTTTGAAAATTTAAAAATCTGGAACAGATGATCTCAAGATGCTTTAAAATTGAAAACAAACATCATTATTCGACTCACCATGATAAACTACGTCAGTCTAGAGCTCTTTTGATGTCTTGCAAGATCCATTAGCTGAAATCAGAGGTCCTAGCAAAATCCTAGTAGCTTTTGAATGGAGCATGTTAGAAAATTTGGATTTGTACCGATCAAGAGAGAAGAGCTTTTTCTATCGATTGATTATACTTTATGTCAGTATGTCGTTCCTATCAAAAGTTATTCAAAAAGTAGTCAAAGTTATCGCTTGTTTCAATTGAGAATAGAAAAGGCTTAGAAGCACGTGTACCTATGCACTTTTGTTTCGGAATTATGGCCGCTTGACTAGTTTTTTTTCACCCACACCCTCAGTATCCTTTTACACAATCTTCCAGAAATACAATTAGAAAATAGTTCATATATTATAAGAAGACGATAGTCATTTTAGATCGTGTTTCGCAAAACATTACATTCTTATAAGAGCATGACTGAATGAAAGAGAATATATGATGATTTAGTTTTTCAATAATTTCATTTCATATTGTCTTATATATTAAAATGTTTTTTTAGATAATGATGTACTTGCAACTCAATCAACATTTTCTCGTCCATCATCATCAGTTAATGTTGAAAATTATTCCGCAATATCGTCTATAAAGAAACAAAAAACTGAATATGAAACCAAATTAAAATTCTTTTTACTTAATCAAAATTGTCAATGTGATTTTGATAAATTAGAAGCATATTTTCTTCAAGAACAAAATGATACATCAAATGAACATTTATTTAGTTTACATTATGCTATTGTACTTGGTAAATTAGGTCAACATGAATCAGCACTTGAAACATTTGTTAAAAATGGTTTTTATACAGATGCTGAAAATTATTGTGAAACTATTTATTCGAATGGTAAAATTCAATTAGCACATGATCTTTATCGTCGTTTAATTGAATTTTATTTAAAAAAAAGTAATGATGGAAATTTAAATGAAAATAGTTTAAAAACTATCCTACGTATTGTTAATAACGCATCCGAACGTCTTGATCCAGTTCAAACATTAGAAATCTTACCAGGTCAATTGAAATTAAATAATTTAAAAGATTTTATTGAACATGCATTACAAACATGTTCAACAAATAAACGTAGTTCACAATTAGAACGTAATTTACTATTTTTAAAATTACTTCGTACACAATCAAATCGTATTTCAAGTGAAAATCATTCATTTGTAATTGATGCTGATTCAACATGTGCTCGAACAGAATGTACACAACCATTTACATCAACACAAGCTGTTGTAAGATTTCCAAATAATAAACTAGTTCATCTTCATTGTAGAGCTAAATATGAAGATGAATGTAACAGAAACAATAAGAACTTCTATTAAAGATTTTTTTTATTTTTCCTGTTTTTTAATTGAATGTGATTGTATTTTTTCTATTGATTTACCGAGTGTCATAATTTTCGTCTTTTTTTCATTCTAGATCAACTTACTTGAATCGCATAAAACGATAAAAAATATAATGGAAATTCATTTTTGTAGATATATATTTTAACTGAACGAAAAAACACGTATCCTAATCCCTGAACGATTTAAAGACTGTCATTAATTGAATTAGAAGACTTTATAGAAATACATTTAACTAATAAAAACAATCAGTCGTTGTCATGATTACGCACTTAAATTTTGAATTATCTTTTAGAAATCTCTTTAGAAATTTAATTGTTCAAATCAATTAATAGGTAATACCTAGACAAAAACTAGTGGTAGATACTCGATATTAGCGGATGTAAGAGTACAGTCATAACTAATACTGAGAATCATAAATACCTAGAATAAATAGGGAGTTTTACAACAGATGCTAACGAGGGAAGATTTCCACATGTGACTCACTAATCAAATTGATATTTTACTCATAAGTAGACTAGACTTCGATAAGACTACTAGAAACCTAGAATAGTTCGTTCTCCTTTGCTATTCTCCTCAAGTTATTTTCATTTTACTGATTTTTTTTATTTTAAAACAACAATCATGTGTCGCAGGAAAAGGAGTATAAATACTTTGCCAAATGTAAAAAATTCAGTAATATTGTAATAACGTGTGAAGACTGATGCATGGATACGAACCCTTATAAACTTCTATTAGTCTCATAAGAACCTGCTGATGGGCAAAGCATCAATTAAATTGGCGACTCACACATGGAAGTCTTTCGTCGTAATCTTATAAAATATTTAATTTTACAAATTTTGAAAGTAAATGATCGAGTTGATTGTATGAAAAATGTTTTGTTGTACTCAGCACAATGATGAAACAAAAACTTTCCCTCAACTGACTATCACGTGGAAGATTAGATTATCTGAGTGCTGAAGATATATTTAAAATTTGAAGTTTATCTATAATTAAGAATTGCCTTATTGAAGAGTATATCTATTTAATAAACTTAAAAAAATTTCTTTTCAGATGGATTTTGAAGAATTTATTGAATCTTTGGAAAGTTTACCAATTGATTTAAGTCGTAATCTTCGATTATTACGAGAACTTGATGATAAAAGTTTATCATTAAAATCAGAATGTTCAACAATTACAACAAAATATCAACAAACAAAATCTCATGATGAAAAGTATAATTTAATTCAAACATTAAATGATTTACAATCTCGACGTTTATTACATGCCAATGAAAAAATAACATTAGCTAATCAAGCATATGAAATGGTTGAAAAACATATACGTCGTTTAGATGATGTACTTGAAGAATTAGCAGCACAACCACAAATAAATTCAACAACAAATCGAAAGAAAAAACGAACAATATCAACAAATGATGATATAAATTCAAATAAAAAACGACGTAAAATAGATAAACCATTAAATCAAGTACAAAATAAAACATCCATTAAAAAGAAAGAACAACAACCACAAGAATTAACAAAAGTTGAACCTGTTGGTTTAGATTTATTTCCAATTGATCCATATGAACCACGATATTGTATATGTAATCAAGTATCATTTGGACGTATGATTGCATGTGATAATCCTCATTGTCAAATTGAATGGTTTCATTTTGCATGTGTTAAACTTGAAGAAGAACCTAAAGGAAAATGGTTTTGTGAGAAATGTCGATCAATTTCGAATTAATTATCTACATATAGAAATACCTCCGTATTTAAAACAAAGAATATATTGTCTTTCTTCTTTTTTCCTGCTATGATGTATTATTGTTATTCATTGTATATAAATACTTTATTTAATAGAGAGTAAATATATATATATATAACCTCTGTTGCAATGATCTTTACATTCAATTTTTATTCTCGTGTTTTGGCAGCTTTTATTTTAAATATATTGCATTTCAAAAAAATGAATATCCATCAGAAACATTTATTTTAAAATGAAAATGTTCATTCAAAAAAATTATTTAGTGTTTAATTGCTTCAGAGTTCATAGAGCAACACATCTGTTTCATAAATCAATTTATGCCATTGTCGATCGTTTTATTCTTTGGTGATAAAACCCAAATTAACTAGTAACCCTTATATGCTTGATATGTGCATCCGAGATACTCAAGTATATCATCAGCATGAAAAATGATGTTCAATTAGGTGCATTGATTTATTTGTTTCAATAAAACATCACTCAAACATGACATATTGAAACAATAATCCTATTCATTCAAGTGATAGTCTCTATGAAAAGAATTAAAAATTATTTATCATCCAACAAGTTAATAGAATACTTAAAGAAGACGTAATTTATGAAATGAATATGATCATGTAGAAATCTCATCATAATCGAAATAAATGATAACCTATTTTCATTTATTTAATTTTTATTTTCTTAAATTTATTTCTATATTCATTATTTTTAATATTGTTCTCAATCAAGCAAAAAAAAAATATTCGAAAAAAAATGAAATCACTGTAAATGACAAGTTTGTTGCAAAGGTGATCGTTGTTTTTTCTCTTCATAAGTTGATTCATTCATAATTGTTGTATCATTTTCTGAATCTTGTTTGATTTTTTCTATAGCTAAATCCAATCGTTGAGTTTCACATCGTTGTTTACACGATTCAGCTTTATTTAAATAATGTATGATCTATATAAAAAGCAAAAATTCTTAGGAAAGTAAAACCAAATAATAAATAATTACCATATTACGTAAAATTTTGATCTTCGTTGGATCTGTTTCAGCTATACATGAAAAAATAAAAATACTTCAATAACAAGATTATATAAATTTACTTCGTGCTACACGAAGCATTACGTCTAAACCGATTTCATATTCTTCACAAGCTCGTGCAAACATGAAGGCATTCATCTATTTATAAAGATATTTCTTTTGTTAAATAAAAAAAAAATTATTATATTTACAAGTTGATTTCCATTTAAACAATGTTGATAGGCATCAAAAAGTTCTTTATCATTGTTTAAATCAACTAAACAAGACAAAACAAATAATTTTTATTTATATTCAAGTTTATAATTAAACTTACGATCATCACTAGGACTCGTAGATGGTGATGGTAATAAACTTGTTGTTGTTACTGATGGTGTTGATTCCGAGTTAGTTGTTGCTTCTTTTATTCGCTTTTTTAAATCTTCAGCAACAACAACACCTTGTTTTACTTTCATTCTCAACATTCGTCGTCGATCAGCATCTTCATCAACTAGAAAAAACAATTCACTTTTATCTTCATTTGGTTTTTTTCGAAACACGATCTAAAAGGAGTGCTGAAATATCGGCATCACAATTTGAATCATTTCCACTACTGACATGTTAGGAACACTTCATTGTGGACTATGATAGACGTAACACCAAATTTTTCTAGTTTCTTGCACCTAGAACTGTAACTGGAATCAAAAATTTTTTATTCACCACTAGGTTCATTTTAGAGTATAAATGTGAGTATAGGAGAAGAAACTATCGAGAACTACACCCTTTTTAGTCTTTCTCTTTTTGTTTCACATTTTGAAGAAATCAACTTTTTTCAATAAAATAATAAATATCAACAAGTTCGAAAAACGAAAGATAGAAAATTCAAAGAAACACTCTAATCAGTTATTTGATATACTATCAACAGGTTGCTGGTTTTCACGAAACTTGTAAGAAACTGAAATTGAAATCAGTTTGTTCCAGTTTTACGAACCAGAACAGCAGGGATATATCTCTCCGTGATTAACAAGAGCAGCAACATCCTGTTTCACACTTTAATCTCGCAGCAATTGTGGCCATAGAGCTTGTTTTTTGTTTATTAAATACCTTTAATTATTGCAAGATATTCATCTAATGCTTGAACACGATAATCTAAAGCTTTTTTAAAATCTCCTGATTGTTCATAATTGATTGCTTGTTGTAAAGTATTGTCCTATTTTAATAAATTAAATTAATAATAAAAAAAAATAGATGATAACAAATATTTACAGCATGAGCAATTTGAGGTGAAACATCAAGGCAAATAAATGGATGTCGAAAAAAGTCTGGAAAACTTATTCGTTTATCTGGATTACGTTGTAATAAATTTTCAAGTAAATTACGACACTCCGGTGATATTTGTGCATCATTTGGAATCTTGTTGTTTTATTAATTATATTTTAAAGAAAAAGAAATTTTGTTTTTCAATTTAAATAAATTTTTTACTTCAATTGGAATATCTGATTTAATTAGATCAATAAGCTGATTAACTGTTGAAAAAACAAAAGGTGGTCGACCAAAAAGACATTCTAAAAATTAAAAACTCTCGAAAAAATGTCTTCCAAAAAAGAAAACTACAATTGAAATACCATAAAGTATAACTCCAATTGACCAAAGATCAACTCGATTATCATAGGGATTTTCTGAAAGAATTTCTGGAGCCATATACACAAGAGTTCCACGTACACTTCGACTTCCTTGTTCTCCAATATGTTGTGCTACACCAAAATCTATTTAATTAAGTGAAGATAAATAATCATATTTGTTTATTTTATTTCGTACCAGCTACTTTTAAAATTGGTTTATCAATTGATGTTAGAAGAATATTTTCAGGTTTTAAATCCATATGACTAATGCCTTTTTCATATAAAAATTTTAATACTTTAGCTTTTAAGATATTAAAAGAAAAAGAATACAAACAAATTATTAGATTCTTATTTCAAGCACTTACATAATCTTACCAATTTGTTGTACAAAGGGTCGAGCACGAGTTTCTGTTAATTGTTGCCGTGAACGTATAAACGTTGACATATCACCTCCAGCACAATATTCCGTAACAATATAGATATAATTTTCATCCCACTATATGAAAAGTGAAGAAAAAACAACAAAAACAAAAGAATTATATTTACTTGAAAATCATACATTTCAACAATATTTTCATGTTTTATGTCTTTTAGTGTTTTGATTTCATTTATAAGCAAATCTTCGGTAGTTTTTGTCAAAACTTTGCGATTGATACATTTAATAGCATAGAAGGTGGGTAAAGCACTTGTAGGTCTGGCACTTGTAGGACGATTACATGCAGCTGAACTTGGTCTTGATTGAATATTCTTTAGTGTTAATACAAAAATTACTCATTTTTATATAGATATACAATGATCTTAAGTAAAACGCTGCATTTGTCTAGAGATGCACGTACAGAACAACGGTGCACGCACGATAAATCTACGACAGTCTTAAATTCATTTCGACAAATCTCCTATAGATTCGAATCCCTGAACCATGAAAACCTTGAATCTTTTTTTTAAACTCAGTTGTTTTATTGAAATGGCCTTCGCAATCTAAAAAAATAGAAATCAATCCAACACTACCAGTTTTATCATGCGTTCGCCGTCACATCCCTATTTTTAATAGACTTGCTCATTTTATAAATTTGTGCACAAATCAGAAACGAAAATGAGCTAAATTATCTGATCATAATCAATTTTAATATTAAAGAGCTAGTATATATTTTGTTACTCAACATTTCTTCTCTGTTACCGTCAAGAGAATTCAATTATAAGGTTTTTTTCATCTGTGAATTGATAGGAATGCTAATCAAAGGCAGAAATTCTACAGTATTGATATTGATGCATGCTTTTAAAATATGATACTAGACAGAGTCTGAAATGAAAGAAACTTTTTAGATTTGATAAAATCTTAAAAATATTATTAAAAATAAATTGAACTTCTGCAATCTTATAAAACTATGTGTGAATTAATTGATACCATTTAATTAACTCTTTCTACTGAGAATATTCAAGGTCTATATAGTACTGCTGCAAGCACTTAACTGTTGCTTCACTGCTGAATTGCTATAATGCTTGCGAATTACTTGATATTTTCTGCTTACATTTAAAACCTATTCAATGTTCTCAAGAACAGTTCGTCGGATTCGAAATTTTCAGATTCGGATTCAGGATCGACCCAACAGGCTCTATTTCAAAGTAATGGATCATTTTTCACATACATACCGATATTAGTCTTGCTTTATATACAGTTCCTAAAAGTCAACACATAAAAATCAAATTAAATATCAATTAAAGCCTTTACCATATGATCCAGCGCCTAATTTTTCGCCAAATGCATAATCAGGTAAACTAGGAATTGCCGTTGATTCATATCGATTAGTCAATGAATACATATTTACACAAGAAAACAATCTTATATCTAAAACTAACAATCAGTAATAACTAGAATATATTTTAAATACATATACATAATATCATCACACATGTTTTAAAAAAACAATTATTGAATGTTTTTTATTATATTCTTTTCAAGGTCACTATAAAGAATAGTCATTTCGTCATAGATTGATGTTTATTGAATTTGAGGTAGAACGATAAATTAATATTTTACAGTTGATCAACAACACCAATAGCTCGTAAATCATCGCCAAGACTACCGGAATTACGCACTAAAGCCACATGAATGGCTTAATAAATAAATTAGCTGCAATATGCAATTATTCAATATTGACTGATGCACTACCTACAGACAGAAAAGAAACGAAGCTTTTTTCTTCCTAGCTGTTCGTCTTGTTTCTACCAGTGATAAGGATTCGATCAAAGTTATTTGATGAATCAACATTAGTTCTTTGTAAAATAGAGTCTTTTTATCAGACATTAAGTGATAGTTCAAGATTTTCAATTTTGTTCTTCAACAGAATTAAAATAAAATCTTCGTTGAATATTTTCTAGTAAAATTTTCATAATTATCACAGAAAGCCATGATTTGATGCCGATGTTTGACAAAAGAAATTCAGTCATTTGTTGCAAATCGTTTCAAGTAATATCTTCATGTGTACTTTAAAAAGAGATGTTTTTTTGTTACAATAAATCATCCATGTTCTCATGTAAATAATCATCCAATGCCTCTGTAAACATTGATGATGCTGATACTGAAGACATAATTGTCATTCGTTCCTAAATAAATCTTTTTTAAAGCAAATTTAGTTAATTTTTTTCTAAAATATTTACTGAAACTACATGACGACAACAATTTTTGCATGGGATGCTAATGTCGAATAAAATAATGGTTATTTATCAATTAATATAAAGTTCAAATTATTCATAAGCTGTATTCATCCATAAAAGGCCATCAACATGTGAAAACGAAAATTTTAAATTAAAAATAAATTTTTCAGGAAATAAAATAGATGTAATGTTTCGATTGTACCTTCATTTATTGAATAAAAATGTTGTTGTACATATTCTTGAGCAAAAAAAATTGGAATACAATAATACATTGATATATACGTGAAATTCTAACCTTATGTGAGAAATCGAGTTTTGTTTTTCGATCATGTAACTTTTGAAAAAAAAAGCATCTAAAGTTAGAATGACACTTGAGATTCAATCGAAAATTTTGAGTTGTTTTTATTATCAAATGCTTCAAAGAAAACGAGTACTTTGTGTTATTATACAATGATTATCTTTTTTTTTATGGACAATAAGACCACTTGGTTGAATGTGATGAATAAGTAGTAATTTATGACTAATACTAATCGCTTCTTCAGCGACTGTATTCACATGTTGATCAATAGCGACACCTTTGAGTTGTTGTTTATGCTGAAATCGAAACTAAAATAAAGATGTTTATGATAGTTTTTTCGTCTAACATCTACGACTTTAAAAAAATAAACACAAAAATCATCTATGAAACTACTGTTGAATAATTTATTAATGGGTATACAAAACAAACCGAGTAATAATAGGTCGTATCAAATATTAAACTACAAAAAACGAAAACTATTAAGAAAAAGAAATAGATAAGTTTAATCATGAGCCCATGTGCCAGGAGGATATTTTTGATAAAGTTTTTCAATCATTTCTATTTCTTCTTTATAACCAAGAAAAACTGGTGATTTTTGATGAATTCCTTTAGGTTGAATTTTTAAAATCGATTGTTGACCATTTGATGATGCACCACCTGCTTTTTCAATAATATATGCCATAGGAATGCTTTCATACATTAAACGAATTTTGCCTTCTTTTGCTTCTTTTGATGCTGGATACAAGAATACACCACCATAAAGAATTGTACGATGTACATCAGCAACCATCGAACCAACATATCGATTAGCATAAGGTTTTGCATTACCCTAAAAAATAAAATCAATCTAAATCATTTTTGTTTGTTTTAACTAATCGTACAAACCTCAGGAAACTTTTTCGAATGAACATATTCCGTTATAGCTTTATCCCAATATTTAGCATAGCCTTCATTAATACTATAAATTCTCTGTGATCCTGGTTTACCCATTTCTGGCATTGTCATATTTGGTGCTGTTAAAATAAATTCACCAATAGACTAGAACACAAAAAAAAATGAATTGAAAATAATTACAAGAAAAAATCTTTTTTTTTCATACCGGATCAAGAGTAAATCCATTAACACCTTCTCGTGTTGCTAAAACAAGCATACAAGCTGAACCATAAACAGCATAACCAGCACAACGTATATGTTCACCACTTTGTAATACAGCATCAATCGGTTCTTTGAAATTCTCGGGTTTTTTCCATATTCCAAAAATTGAACCAATACTAAGAAACAAAAGCGAATAAATATTTTCTATTATCTAAATACATTTACTTACGTAACAAGACAATCAATATTGGATGAACCATCTAATGGATCAAAACATACAATATATTTGCCCTACACAAAAAAATAAAGTAACTTTAAATTATAATTATTATTACATACTTGTTTTGGTATTTCGACTTCAACTAAATTTTCATTTTCTTCTGATGCCATTATATAAACAGTATAGGATGATTTAAGCATATTAATAAAAAGTTCATTAGCAAGTACATCCAATTTCTTTTGATCATCACCTGTTGTATTTGATGAACCTGCTAAACCATATCTATGAACAAAAACAAAAACAAGATGATAGTAATTAGAATAAAAATTTCATTGAACATACAATTTAGCTATTCCAGCTTTTCGTACAGCTGCTGCACAAGCTTTAACAGCTGTTAATAATGCATTGAGTAAAATAGTTAAATCACCAGTAGCACCAGGATATTTTTTTCTTTGTTCAAGTACATAACTTGTTACAGTTACACATTCAGTTTCCATGATTGATGTTGACACTTACCACTGAAATCTATAAATGGAATACACACCTTGCTGTTTTTTAATAACGCACCCACACACTTGAGTTTGAAAATATGTGGGCGTATGTTTGACTACGATATATATATATATATGTTTACTAGAATCAAGAAAGTCGACAGGAAAAAAAAACAGAATATCACATGATTGTTTTTTTTTGCATTGAGAGAGAGCACAGAAAGAAAGAGTACTGAAAGATTAAGGTCCAAATGTCCGTACGATAGTTGAAAAAAAACTGACAAGAAAAATAGTAGAACAGTAAATAGATTTATTTTTGTCAAAAATGAAACGTAACTGAGTAGTTTCAGGGGAAAATTGAGATGCCTGGAGAAGAAAAATGAAACAGGATTGTAACTTCAAGTAGCTGTGGACAAATCAAACAAATAAACTACAGATGGAGTGAATGTATGCATTCGATGAATTGGAACATCAAATGTACAGTATAATTATGAAAATAGATCAGAAATTCTTGTAAATATTGTTTATAATCAGCACACTATATGTATGAATTGCTGTTTTTAATGCAGTGCGTAACACTGAATTTATTGAGATCGATACCAGTCTTTTGGATGCATGTATTGAAAATTTGTATTTTGTGTCACGATGATCTCGAGCATGAAAACATAGAAAATATTCGTTTGAAGACAGGATGAAACATATCCCGATTGAATCGACACCATCCATTTTCCGATTCCAATAAAACAGTGAAGCTTTCTAGACTTACTTTTTGTTTTTTACAACATTGAAAACAATTAAAACGAAAAGTAGTATAAAAAAAAATTAGGAGCAACTTATTGTTTTTCAAGTTTTAAGGTAGTTAAAATTAAAACAGTCATAGATTCAGCTGTAAGGACAATGAATTCTGAGCCATGAATAACTGAGATAATCAAACAATCAATGTACTGTATAGAGTCGAGCAAAGAGAATTTTGGTAGATATTCGTTTAAGAAGAAACTTTTCTTCTAGATACAACCAGAGGAAAAGGAAAACATATCTTTAGAATGTACATATAGATGAATTCAGAACCGATATCCATTTTAATATGCTAGATCCTTATTAGAGATATATAAATTAAACCAACCCCTATAATTGAAGACCCCTTTGGGAAAAAATCGTGTCCCACATAATAGACCCCCCCCCCCCCCTACACAGTGGGGAACTTCCGCATACCAGGCGGACATGTAACTTTCTTGCTTTAAAATCGTCTTTTATAGCTCAGAAGTGGTTATATATCACTTAGAAAATCGTCTTTAACGAGATAAACCACTTTTTGGAAGAACAACTTTTTTGCCAAAAAACACCTGTGGGGGACCTCAGCCAAAGTTTTCGAAAAAATTATTTTGTTAGAAAATGTTTTCTATCATACATCAATCGACGCAGTTTTACGCGCTGATTCCGAATATCGCCTTGATTTTTCGCTAACATGCTACTTTAAGGGCAAAAAAGGAACATTAGGCGAGAATCATGGTTTTTTGGAAATCCATTGTCCAGTCTACGGACACTGATGCGATACGACACACATAGCCGACGATAAACTAACATGGAAGTATACAATTAATAAGAACTTGAGCTCAATCAGACGAAAACTGTTTGTAGCGTTCGAAAAACATGAGATGACTTTGGTTTTTAAGCTTTTCCTTAATAAAGGTCAAAAACAAATTTTCGAAAAAACGGCTTTTTATTATATATCGTTAGATGCAGCTCGATGAGCTGATTCCGAATATCACCTTGGTTTTGCATCAAAACGATGGCTTATTGTGAAAAACAGGAATTTAGGGCCAAAAACCTAGGTTTTTGAGAAACTCGTAGCGCCGGCTATGCTCATCGGCGCGAGATGGCGCCATGGTGAACAACGCACCAGACATGAAAGAACAATCAGGAAAAGTTTGAGGTCAATCGGACTGAAACTCTTTGTAGCGTTTACAAAATACGGAAAGGCTGGTTTTCAAAACCTTGTCGGTTCCTAGGAACCGACTTTTTTTCTCAGAAGCACATACTGTTGTATATGATTCGATGCAGCTTGACGAGCTGATTTTGAATATCACCTTGGTTTTGTGTCAAAATGTCCTCATATTCGCAAAACTAGCGATTCCGGGGCAGAAACCTGGTTTTTTGGAATACCTCTAACTCAGCCTGTGTTCATTATTTCAATACGGCGCTATGACCAATGATACATTAAACGTGGGAGAATAATCGGTGAAAATTTCAGCTCAATTGGATTAAAACTCTTTGTAGCGTCCACAAAATACGGTATGACCGATTTTTCGACCCACTTTCGGCCCAGTAGTTAGTTTTTTTCTATTCCATTTCTGGTTCAAACGAAATAATTTTTTCACACAATAAAGCTCATAGATCAATCATTCGTTTCAAATAGTTTTTCATTTTAAAATACTTTGATAAGCTGACAAAAAAAATGGTATCCGTATAATTACCGATTTATCAACAATTTTTTTGACGATGGACTTTCCTAGAGTGTGACTTGATTTCTGAAAATCTAGTTTTAGGGTAAGATAGACTAACCATAGAAGTATTCATTCCATTATTTAGACTTTGGAAAATACAACTTGAGGTCATGTCCGCCTGGTTCCCCACAGTGCCCTATTTATTTAAGATTTTTTTTTTTAAATTGAGGATTTTTATTGATGTTTTACCTCGAAACGTGTCTATTTCTGGAGGTTTTCAGCTGAGAATTTTCAAATTGATGAGTTAAACTCTATATTTCAGCTTTGAAAATCGTGAAAATTCCTTCTCCAATTTTCAAAATCGCTTCGATTCTCTCCAAGGACTTTTTTAATTACAAAAACTTATCAATGTAGTCACTATGGAGCCAAAGTGCAGTACTCATTAGACTCAGACTGCTACAAATCTATATTATATTCTCAAAAATGAGTGAAAAAGTTCATTTTCAAAACATATCAAATAAATGGATAGATTACAATTAATTCTATCGTTTGAGTTACAGCATACGCTGTAAAACATTATTCTGAAGAAACTATTTCATTTCGAATTCCTATCTCTCCTTCATTCCAGTTATCAGATTTCCTGAATATATTTATAATATTAAGACAAGCGACGCAGAATGTTAAACTTCAAAAAAAAAACATTGGTCATAATGATTAATTTCTAGCAGTTTCTATTCGTACATTTCAAACATATTTTTTCTCTAATGCGTTTCTTTTTCTGTTGCCATTCTCAATGTGTTATTCTTCTGTTAATCGATATTATCATTATTTCGTATTATTCCATCCAAGCTCTAATTTAATGATTAAATAATCTTAGTATAGACATTGATTCTATCTTCGCCATATTCTAACAATCTTGTATGCATACTAATGTACTGAATAAGACACAAAATAAATATTTCTAAAAGTTAGAAAGTAGTTTGATCACGATTTTATATAACGTATACTATCGTTATGAAAAATCACAAAAGATTATCTTTCAAATGGATCGTATAAACTTTTATCTGCTCAAAAAAGGAGACTAGCTTTTTGCGAGTGCTCATAAAAATATTCGAACTATTGAAAAGCAATGATTGTAGAAGTTTTCGCAACCTTCCCAGGAATAGAAAAGCGAAAAAAATGCCATACCTCATAATGGAAGGGATATAATCATGCGTGTTTTGTATTTTCATCGTTTAAAATGAAAGTTACACGAATTACATTTCATGATTTTGATTTCTAATCAAGATCATTATAATGAAAATGATTAGAAATCAAAATCATGAAACGAGAGTGGTAAAAATTTTGATTTTAATCAATGAAAATAAGAAACATGCATGATTATATCCTTTTCATCATGGAAAACGCCATTTTTAAAATTTTTTTTACCTGAGAGCCACCATTTGTTTTCATTTTTTATTCTACGGGTATTAAATCTAAATGATTGCTACGACATATAATGGGGAAGAGGGAACAAGCTGAAAAATCTTGACTCAAACCTAACTACGAACGACAAAAGTCTTGAGAATCGTATTTTTGATGTAACTTTTGATAGAGATAAGACAGAGAGTTGCAATTTTCACCGTTGGAAAGAGGAGATGAAGACGCATCGAACGATATGTGACAGATTTTTCTAATATGTTTTCTGTCGCTTTTCAAATCAATTTTCTAAAAAAAGGTAGCAGAAAAATCGCTTTTATCAAAAAGAAAACAGGACAAAACTGATTTTTTTTTTCGCAGGAATTGCTGGAAAATCGGTTTAGCGTTTCGAGTAGAATACCTATAACTCCTGAACGATTGAAGCTAATCATCTGAGCGTTGTGCAGTTTTATAGATCTCCAATTGGCGGTTTCAATGCACACCAGATGATTAAAAATTCACCGTAGTCTCCTATCGAATACGTTATTTTTCTGAAAGCTGAATTGAAAAACCTTAGCAGAACCAGGTCAAAAAGTCTGTAACATACACTTCCATGCGTTTTCATCTCCTCTTTCCAACGGTGAAAACCGCAACTCTATGTCTTATCTCTATCAAAAGTTGCACCAAAAATACGATTCTCAAGACTTTTGTCGTTGGTAGTAAGATCACTGTTAGTTCCTTCGAAAATATATGTGAGTTTTACAAAACTTAAAAGCATAATATTTAGAAGAGAAATTAGAAATTACAGATTATAAAATAAGATAGCCGTTGACATTAATTACTTTCTATTGTTTGTTGCTGTGGGAAGGGTGTGGGTGATGCTTTTTCCAGCATCTGATTACTATAATAAAAATTGAGGAGCCGTAAGACTTGAACTTAAATTTGCATTTACTAAATTCTTCGAAAATAATTGGGAGTGTCCAAAAAATCGCGAAAATACGAGAGTTATAATACAAGACCCCCCTAAAAAAATTTTCCGCTTAAACATTATACAAGACCCTGGGTCTTTTAATATGAGGGGGGGGGGGGGTATTCAAAATCCAAGTATTGAAAGTCAAGAATGCTTTTCACTTGACTTCAAACAGTCGAGTTTTGTCGAGATCC